TTGTTGTTGTTGTTGTTGTTGTTGTTGTTGTTGTTGTTGTTGTGAGTTGTCCTTTGGAACTCCTGGTCTATTTTTGCAGACATTGCCAACGCCCAACAAGGTCCGCAGCATTGGGTGCAAGTTCGGAGCCCCGCATGATACGTGTGATGCTTTGGGGGGGCGTATCGCCGCGTGAAACCAAGCAGTCGAAGTGCAGGGCGTCGATCTTTGCACTGTTCTTGAGCTACATCATTTGGGACCAATGAGGTAGTAAGGGACTTGGGTTGTAAGGGACTTGAACAGATGGACATGCCATGAAATACATTGAAATACCGTACACCCCGCTGAGTTCAGGCTGGTTCCACCGGTGTCGCCCTTTTTCCCCATCACCAACGCACCGCATGGTCCGCATCGACTCCTGCTCTCCTTCAGAGCTGGATGAGACCTTCCGCAACGCGTGGGCTGAGGTGGTTGGCACCTTCTCAGATCCTGAAAGCCTCAAGGCATGCGTCCGACGAAGAGAGCGCTCGTCCGATCCGGAGGTGTGACAAGCAATGACCACTGAATGACCAGTTTACTGGGTGAAACTCGGGGTGTATGTCAAGTTCTCCTGTCGCCGATGGAACACGAACTGGAGGATTCCCAGGAACCCTGCCACGGTCGCAATGTGTTCCTGCCACGCCGCTGCCAGGTGTCAAGCTTGGATTTTATCTTGAGCCACTCAGCCCAGTGAGCGCAGAGATTTTGGGTAGTTCCACTCAGCCTGACCATCGAACTGAGTTCTGTTCGATGATCATGAAACAGATGAACGGATGATATCTGATGATCATTATAGCCATGCAATGATACATGAACCTTAACTTGGCAAGCACACCATTCTTGCTCTTCGGCGCGGCGCGGTGGAAGTGGGAAGATGCTGAGGTGGTGTGGTGGCGGAAAAGGGACGCAAGAATCTGGCGGCTGCCACCCAAAAGGCAGCAGTCGAGCGACTGGGCAGAAGAAAAGCAATTGTTCTGATGCCCAGACGCTCCACTTGTGGCATATTTACATGTTGGTGGTTTGATTGGCAAAGAGGGCAGCGCCCCTTTAGATTCATTGACGTGCCTGACCTTCTTTGTGAGGACAAGTGGTTTCTTTATCACTGCTGGTGATGCGAGTTGGTGCAACCATATCACACTGCTAGCTGCTAGCTCATACTAGCTCTACTTACATCTGCTTATATACCAGGCTTTTGTACTTCTTGTGTGTTGCAGGAATGCTTATATAAAGGAACATGGCAGCAGTACCCTTGTTTTTGTTCCCTCCGATCGCCGTCTACGTGCAGCTGCTGAGGCATGGCCTCGTCTGCACTGTGTGGTCCATCATAGAGGCCGAATGGAGTCGATCAGGACTCATCAGGATTCATAGCATCTTATCGCATCGGATAGGTGGCGCAAGGAACTCGAGGTGA